GCAAAGACTCTGCCACCGTCTACTATGCGGACTCGTATGGGATGGTCTACGGCATACAAGTGCAGAGCGGATCTGCCTTGCTGCGTCTGGCTGATAAGACTTGTCCTAAGTACAACCCTTCATCTTACCGCTCGCTCGATGCTATCCCGCAGGTAGATCATCCGCCCGAAGTGAAGAGAAAGCTTATCGCTGCGATGCTGGATAAGCAAAGAGAAAGGCGTTCGTCGAAGAAGAACGATCACCCAGTTTCCACCGCTGCATGCGCGGATTTGCAGCTTGCCGCTGTTCCTTTCGGAGGGTTTAAAGGAGTCATGGGAGCAATCGTCGGTGCGGATTACTTACATCCCCTGTTGCTGTTTAGACATGTGGCTCTGGCGCGTAGGCGTTCTGCGGAAATTCCAGCGTGTATATTTCCCCTATTTCTGTGCTGCAGGCCTAGGACTAGATCCTGCTGGGGAACACCTTATTGCTGTGGGTTTGGGCCGCTACGCCTACGTATTCAATGCTAAGTCGCGCAAGCTGTGCGAAAAGGTGAGACTGCTGTTTCGTGTCTTTGTAAGCACACTGATCCAGCTGCCGCAGCAAAAGCAGCACAAATCCCATAAATGCGTGCGTGTCACGTGATGCAGGTATTTCTCAAGCAGAAGCTCACATGTCTTCTAGCTGGAGCGGGGGAAGCGGCTGGCGGAGTAAGGCGACGCGCATTAAAAAGGAAGAAAGCAGCAAGCGAGAGTAGCGGCAGCGAATCGGACGCAAGCAGTTCAGAGCTGGAAAGAGGGAACGACGGAGACAGCGACAGCGACAGTTCAACTGCTTCTTCGTCAAGCACAGGGGCACACAGTAGCCGAAAAGCTGGGCGCCTCGACAGGGAGCAGCAGGCTGACACCTCTGTTCTTCCCCCTAAGCGGAAGGCTGCACCGGATTGTAAATTCAAGAAGAAGAAAAAGCGCTCTATCCAGCCGTAGGCACGACCTACGAATCATATCGGTTTATTGAGAGCCGAATTTGTTTTAAACAATGCGAAGGTGAAGTTT